TGCCATCCGGACCCCCAGTGACTCTAATTAGCCATCTGGAGCTTGAGGGGGAGCTCCTGAGGAAGCAGAATCTTATTAACAAGGTCATCAAGACTATTCAAGAGTCCAGAAGGCCATCCACTACACGAATATACGACGCGACATGGGTTGCGTTTTTAACCTGGTGCAAAGAGCATGGTATCAGAGACATTACAGCTTCCATACCACAACTGCTAGACTTCCTTCAGGATGGTTTGGAAAAAGGACTGCGCCCAACATCCTTTGCCGCCAGGTCACTGTCTTGTCCACCATCCTCGCTAGAGGTTCATCCCGATCCCTGAGCTAACACCCTCAGGTCAAGAGTTTCCTGAAGGGCGCGGCCAATATCCGTCCTCAAACTATACACAGATATTCTTCTTGGAATCTGCCATTTCTTCTGTGAGCCCTGGCAAGCATGCCGTTCAAGCCAATTCAGACTGCCAGTCTTCGCCATTTGACTCTTAAGACTGCCTTTCTAGTTGCAATTATGTCTGCTAGAAGGGTCTCAGAGCTTGCGGCTCTCTCAGTCAGGGAGGAACTGTGTATAATACATACTGATCGGGTCATCTTGAGACTCGACTCCACCTTTATCCCCAAGGTGAACACTCACTTCCACAGAGCCCAGGAAGTGATTCTCCCTAACTTTTGTCCCAGACCTACGCATCCCAGGGAGCGTACTTGGCATAAGTTAGACCTTAAGCAAGCTGTTCACATATATGTTGGGAGGACTAAGGAATTTAGACACTCCAAGTCATTTTTTGTGTCATTTCAGCCTGAGTCGCTGGGCTGCAAGGCCTCATCCTCAACCATTGGATGTTGGCTACAGGCCTGCATCAAGATGGCCTATGAACATCAGAGCAGAGCTGTGCCAGGTCGGGTGATGGCACACTCCACAAGGGGTCCTGCCACTACAGCAGTGTGGGCGACCCAAGCATCCATCATTGACATTTTCACAGCAGCTACGTGTGTGTCCCCCACTGCATTTATTAGAAAGTACAAAATTGACACCTTTGCCTCAGCCGAAGCCTCCTTTGGAAGACGTGTTTTGCAGAAAGTTGCCTCAGCTCTGGACAATCTGGACACAAATTTTTCCCGCCCTGGGACACAATAGCTTGGGTATGTCCCATGCTTGGACTCTCCAAGCAGCGCACAGGAGAATGACCGTTGGCTTATCTGAACGGTCTTTCTCTGGGCGCTGCAGGAGAGTCCAACCCCGCCCAGGGTTTAGCTAGGTGTCCAAGACTTTTTGTCACGATTAGGATCCTGAAGGGCGTCCTGCAGCGGATAAGACCTTTGTTTTTAAACTGGCCTCAATGAGGCAAAGGTGGTGTGGTTAAAAAAAATCTACTCAGTCCTAGGGCAGATAGACTGTATTTAACCCATGATTGGACTCTCCCGCAGTGCCCAGAGAACGACCATTCAGGTAAGCCAACGGTCATTCTCTACCAATTTTTCTTACCCAAGAAATTCTTGCTTTCCTTTTTAACACCAAAAGGAACTGGAATCCCAAAATTTCATTTACAGGATACATTCAGATGAACCATAATGTCCACCTTGAGTACATGTTCACATTTATTGCACTTCTAAGAATTAAAGAGAAAATAGAATCCCTTCAATCTAAATTATCAGTCTTCATTTTGTTCTCCTTTATCAAACATCTGCTCCCCTCATCCCTCCCCAGAGATTTTACTTCCAAAACCTTATAGGGAATATGCAATTATTTGTCAAAATTACTTTGAATGCATTCACAGCACGGAATCTTCAAAGAAGTTGTCTACAATTTAAAGCAAAACAACTAAACAGCTGGACTAAAAAAGAACCAAAGATGCCAAACAATGATTAGCAGTAGGAAAGAAATTATTTCTTTCTGCTCTGGGTATACTAAAATAGAAAGATAAAAAGGTTGTTTAGAAAAAAATGATACAGGGACAAGGATAATAAAGGTACACATAGCCAGGAAACACAATCAATAGGGATAAAAAAGAAAAAGAAAAGGGAACTTTGAAAGCAAGACTATAGAAGTTGGAAAGAACATTTAAACAAGTAAGAGAGTAAAAAAATGTAGAAAAGTCACGTAGTAGTTGCACAGAAATTTAGAAAACAAGAAAATAGCTGTGAAAAAATAAATTATTATTAGGAGATCAGAAAATACACAGGTATACTAAAGAAAGTTTGGGGGAGAAATAGCATTATTCATCTAAAGTACTATCTGCTGATCCTTAGTGAAACAGAAAATAATGCCACAAAAGAAATTAGCAGATTTCCAAAGATGCACAACCCGAGTTCCGTTTAACACCATATACATTATAATGTTTAATACACACCGGCACTTGCATAAAGTATTGTTTTAGAAATTGATAACACATATTCTATATTTTTCAAATTGATGTAAAATGGGAATGCGTATCCAGTGTAAAGCCTCATAGCTACTTTCAGACTTGTTTTTGTGCCTCTAAAACACTGTAGTACCTTAGAGTAAATCGAGAATCATCAGAATTTGACCCCATGAGATTTTTTTTAAATAGGCAAATTTACCTGTTGAAATAACAGCTGATGTTCCAGTGATAGCAGGTGCCTCTCTGTATATCGGGAGGCTGCTATTGTCGACTTTTGCAGAAATAGGAGAAAAGACAAGAGGTTGCATTGCTATGGTTTTTTTCTGTTGAAAAATAATATATTTTATTACATTAAAATATTTTTGCAAATAGTCAAATCATATTTAGGTCAATATCAGTTGACACAAGATTCTGATACAGTTAATTATGTCAAACAAACACAAAATATGTTGCTGTAGATTTAGAGTTTATTCCTGATCTGAGATTCTCCAGAAGAGGCAAAAACATGATCTCAGCTAGAACTAGCAACCAGATGAGAGCTTTCAGAAGCCAGGCCATCAAATAAAACGACAACCAGCCCTATATTGAAAGAAACATCTTTGGCAGATTTAATCAACTGTTCTAAATATCTGCCTCAGCAATTTTTTAAAACTAGATTATATAAATATAGTAAATGTCATTTTGACCACTTGTAGAAACATGCTGATCTATGGGACAACTATTCTATTCCCATTTTCTTTAAATACCTCCCACTGAAAGGAAGTTCCACTAAGTTAAAAGAGTGTGTGTGTGTGTGTGTGTGTGTGTGTGTGTGTGTGTGTGTGTGTTCTCGTATAAAATTGTAATATAAAATTGATCAAGTTTAGCTTACCTGCATTGTAGAAACGAGAGAAAAAAATATGAAGAGTTGGGGTGGGGGAGCAGACACTTTCGGATTAAGAAAAATTAGTAGCTCGAAAGATTTTAAACCCTGACAATTTAAGACCAAGTAAATATGCCAATGCGGTTAACACATTAAAATAATAAAATATGTAATTTACAAATCATATTCTGCATTTGGACAGCAATAGAACACTTTGGAAACAACTTTCAAAAAATAATAAATCTAGGAAAAGTAGATTCGGTAAAGAAACTTTCACACATGGGGCAGGAGAATGCAAGTTATTAATCAACAAAACAGACTATCCCACCTATGATAAAAAATTATACTAACTTTTCTTCCTGGTTTTAAGTCATTTTTCCTTTTTTTGAGGTTTTCTTTGTGAGAAATGTTTTTGACTACTGGAATATTTTTAGGAGACTGGACTTTCCTAAGGACGGTGGATGGAGCCAGTGGTTTTGCCGGAGTGAGTTTCCTGCCTTTGGCAGTTGGAACAGGTGAAGCTGATTTCGGGGGAGACTGCATTGAGCTCCGAGTTCCTTTGGAAGGAGAGGTCTGTGCTTTGATATTATTCTTTGTGCTAGAAACTGTGGAAAGACACATGGACCATCTTTATGGATTGTTAAAGTAATATCCAACCAACAGGATCCTCAAATATTTTTTTTAATTCAGTAATACTTTGAAAGAGGTTTACAATCAATGATGAATTAATTTTTTACTAACTTTTCTGCGAGATTAAATAAAGTTAAGTTAAATAAAAAGATAAGTGAAAAATAAGATAGACTAACAGGAGTATCTACCGCCCACTTTTGTATCTCTGTTAGTAGTAAAAATTTCTAACCGCCCACCCAGTCCAAAAGAAATAGTGATTTATAAAGTAGGGAAGTAACTTTACTTTATAAAATTTATAAAGCAGAGTTACAGCAAACCCCTACCGCCCACCATGAAAGCTGAAATGCCCACTAGTGGGCGGTAGGGACCAGGTTGACTACCACTGGTATAGACAGTTCTGGGATTTTAGGTGAATGGAGTTGTAGCAGCAGATTGAGGTTTGGTTTAGCAATCTACTTACGAAAGACCAGGACTCGAGACCACGAAGGGGCGGGGGAAACAGCTTTATTGACACCTCAAGAGTTCAGAGTGTTCGCACACCAAAACTGAACTGCCTGGGCTATGCGCTGGGCAGTGATTTTATACCTTTTAATCAAACTTCGTAAATCAGTAGACGTTACAATA